GTATCATGGTCTTGAAAGGGGAGACAAGGACGATGTCAATGCCAGCCCTCTATTGTAAACTATTTTCCACAAATATACATTTGTTTGTCAATATGCATGTGTGAGTGACCCATTAAAAACCACACCTGATGCCCTAACTAAACCACACTGTTACATGTATGGTCACCCTGTTTATAAAGTCAAATGAAAAATCTAATGCTGAGACTAGAGTATATTCAATAGTAATGAATAATCACTCCTTTATCAATATGATTACTGTACTTGTTTACTGCAGCACTGATGTAATAATGTCCCAGTCTGCTGTAACATAAGATCATTGCCATTAACTAATCAGATTGGCATGCAAAAGAGGTTCAATATGGCTTGCTTGTATAATGAAGCTCACACCCTTTTTAAAATATTTAATACATGTTTTGGCCTCTTGTTTGTGTACTTTTTTTTTTACTTTTAAACTTGAAGATGAAAAGAATGAAAAGTGTGTCCCCTGCCAAGCAGAGGTCAAAGCTCAACACACTGATATGCTAAATTAGCTGCTGCCATTCTCACACTTTGGTTATCTGTTAGAAGAGTTCACCACAAGCACAACCTAACCTCACAACTAGCATGGCACTTTTTATTTATATATATACTTTCTGTGTATTATATATGACCATGATAAATGAATCATTAATATAAGTTTAATACTGTTTCATGAATGGCCACACTATATTTGCAACAATTATTTGCAAATCATCTTCACTACAACTGGTCACACTTCATATTCAATCACATCTGCAGCTTATCTTCAGTATTTTTTAGAAGTATCAAACTTAAAAACTTTACTGTATGAAATCTTACAGTGGTTCAGAAGAATGTAATCAATAATACTAGTACCATAGCTTCAAAACCTAAGATGATTACAATATTGGGTCTACTGAAGGCAAAGACCCTTCAGTAATAAAAGTATATGACTAGAATTACTTCAATATTCTCTCATATATATTACAATGGTTTTGAAAGACAATCTCCAAAGAAATATGTATGAAACACCTGCACTTCTGCTATGACATTAGTACAGTTGCACAGATTAAAATCAACCACATGTTAACATAGTTTAACATTACAGATTCAAAGATAGGAGAGTAAATCACCATCTAATGACATCTCCTCATTATATTAGTATATTATATATATTTCCATGGTAATAGCATAAGACTAGAAATAATAATATAAAAGACTAAGAACGAAACATTTACCTATGCCAATTTCCATATCAGATTACATAACCAATTCCCCATTGCATTGCCAGATTCCTGTTTCTTAACAAATATTTATGTAACACTTCTTCCAGGTTTTCATTATTTAATAATATTTTTTAAAAAATATCCATTGCTAAAAAAAACTTTGCAAAACGTTGTAGCCTAAATTTGCTAAGAGGTGAAAAGTATTTACTCTTTACAGCATATGAAGTGTAAAATATTCAACTTCCAGAACAAATATCTTCCACAACTTTCCAATTTTCAAATTCCAAAAACCAAGTGCTTGGTCCCAAAAATGAATCAAATATCAATAAAATCTTTTGTCCCTAAGCTACACTCCCCTACATTGCCAATGGCAGCATCTTCACCTCTCAGCAAATGGTTTACAAAGTGAGGGCATGTCTCAATCCACACATCCGCCCAATCCTCCTTGCCTTACAGTTGGCAGCAAGAAATCAAAATATATATATATACTGTATATATTATACATATTTATATTTATATATTATCATAATGGTTATAAATTGCAATAAAGAAGGAACAGGCTAATCTGCCGAGCTTGTCTTATTTAGTCCATGCTGATGCTGCTGCTACTACCAATCAGAGTGAACTCAGAGGAGCGTTCCAGTCAGTTTCAGTCGGATAGACAGACGAGTCTCGTTGCAACACAGTTTTAAGTTGAGACTTCAGTCTTCAGGTGTGCTCTGCTGCACTCATGTCCAGTTTTGTATTTTTTTTGTTTATTTTTATGTTTTGTGATTAATAGCTTAATGTAGCTACAATGTGACTGATACACAAGATGAAGTGGGTTCATACAAATGGTGTATATTATATATATACTACCAGAATTATATTATTATACATAGCATGGATGGCAAATATTGAGTTAAAATTGCATGAAAACAACTCAAAATTTGAACTTTACTAATGAGCAGTTAAATCAAATATGGGATAATCTACTTTATTAATTGGTAAACTAGTTTGGAAACAATCCCTTAGAGAATGTAAACTATATGAAGCTGACTGCCATTTTAACCATAGGTGATCTCACTGATGGCCCAAACAGCACATCCACCATATGTATGTAGTGGATTATGGTCTTTCCTTCCAGCATAAAATATGTATAATAAAAAACTCCACAGAACTTCTGTGGCTCCCCCTGTTGGATCGGCACATATTTCACTAATGCAGCGTCTGAAAAGTGATCACTAGATTTTCTTTGATTCGTGTAAAATCTATTAAGAGAGTACATCTTTTTTTTTTGGTTTCACAGAAAAACATTTACACAAATAATTGAAAAAACATACCCTGTATCCAAGAATCACTTCATAGCAGTGGGGGTTTTTTATTTTCATATCAACAGACAAGTGGAAAAATGTTCTTGCATTCCCTTGTGCTTTCACATCCATTTGTGTCTTTCTGCACCCCCATACAAGTTCGCACTGGTCAGATTATCAATTGCAGATCCATAGGTTATGTTGGTTTCTCTTATTGAAGTCATGTGCACTGAGATCTACATGAAAGGCAGCGCAATAATTGAACTGTTGGAATTGTGAGAGCACATTGTGTGTATGTGTATGTGTATTTTGTGTGTGTGCATGTGTGCGTATATTGAAAGTAAAAGAAAGGAACAGTTAACTTACACTAAGTGTTTTAAACAAATGTTTCCCTCAGTCAAGGAAAGAAAACAAGGACCTCTATGAAGACCTTTGGATTTCTTCACTACTTTTCCAGCTTTACCATAATATCCAGTGCAGATTTATATGCACACAGGATATATGAACAATCAGTACACTAAACGTACAGTCACTAAAGTACAATTCCCTAATGACTATCATGAAACTAACAAAACAAACTTCACTAACCACATATTGGCACCAATCGATAAAAATGACAATAGGTAGCTATTACAACAAAAATAAATATGTATAAAAATGAAAGTCCCATAGATAGGTACTCAATTGATAGATAATTTTATACAGCATATATTATCAAAATATAATTCAATGTATATGTAGCTGGTTGTAGCAAAAGGCTTAGTAAGCTGTCATTAATAAGTGATAACCATGTATAATCCCTTTTTATTTGTTCCTCTTTAGTTTTCAAAAAACCTCAGAGTGAGGCAATAAATAAATAAAGTAATTAGAATCAATAAAAAATAAATGACACCTAAATTACAAATCTCTTTTAACATGTTTACTACATAACTATCTATCTTCTCCAAGCAGCACCATCTGTGTAACTGCACTAGAAATGAGACTAGGAAATAAAACATGCTTGTCCCTTTCCATACATTAAATGCCTTTCCATTGCACATATCCAACATTGAATGCAGCTGATCAGTAAACTTAAGTACAGTATGCTGAAATGTCAATGTTAATCACATTCTTTGAACTTCTTTTTCCAGTTATGTCAATATTCTTTAAATTCTTTCAAAGGGAATGTGTCTGAGTTATTAGAAAACAATCGGAATGCACTAGTTCATTAAAGAAAAGCTCTTTTCCAAATATGCAAGAAAATAATAAAATTAAAGATAAAGTTATATAAAAGAAGAAACTTTAATAAAGATTTCTGGTGTTTGATCTCATATATTTCATGGTTGTTATTAACTGCACTAAATTGCAAAGCTCTCTTAAACAAACAATAAATTACATTAATATTATGTGTTACCTGCATTATACTTTCAAGTTAAACTTGCACCAACAGAAAAATAAAAAGTGTTGATCGTGTTTTGTTCATATTGCACACATACATATCTGCAACATGTCACTGCTCTTTCTATGCGCATACTGGCTTTCAATGCTACAGACTTAACTATAACTCATCTTATCCAATCCCCCTGGGGTTTACTTCTTTAATAAGTTAAATATATATTACTACATCTCCTAGAAATCTACAGCATTTGTTTTCTCTTTGTCCTACCTACTACCATTTTCTGTTGAACAGTTTTTTTTGACTAGATATTATAAATGGTTTCTGTTAGTGAAGCAGCATGTGGTTCACTTACCACAGACAAATGTCAGGCAGCAGGCCCTCAACCAGTCAGTATAGCGAGCAATGGTATATGGAAATATGAAGGAAATGTGTAGGCCATTTGCTATGTGAGTGAGTTTATCTGAGCAGAGTAAAGCAGCAAATTAACAGATGATGGATATATGAAACTATGTGATGTTCTGGAGTCACCTGCTGTCTATTTGTCTCTGCAACCTGAAATGTGAAATCTGAATTTATAAATGATGCAAGTCCCAGGTGTACCAAGTGCTGCTTCTCCATGCAGTAATGTACCATAAGACCCAATCCTGTCCGTCAGTCGGTCGGTCATTCGGTCAGTAACTCAACAAAGACAAAGTCCTTGTTTAAATACACCTCACTTTGGTTTTGTGTTAAAAATAAACACCCTTCAGGATCATGTTTTAAATAATCATGAAACATGAATAAATATTTAATGAAAGGATAAAGTAGAAAAAAAACCCTCCTATTATCTTTGGCTTTCAGGGAATTCCTATGATTATAGATACTAAATGTACTTTATCTCTTGTATGCTCACATTACCTACAAACTACATATGTATGTTTTCATGTTTATGTATGAATAATTTGGTACTTTGGTTATTAATTAATATTCACTAAAATTGTAGTAGAAATATTACATTAGTAATTATTTTGTATCATTTTCATTATAAATATTAGGTATTGTTACACTGTTTCATCTTATAGGTTATTAATTACATA